GCTTCTCCAGGAATCAGTTTCCTTGGGACTTGCTTCCAGGTAAGTATGTATTATAAAAGCTCTCAGAAGAGCTGAGGCTAAAATTGGTGGGAGAGCTGCCATGCCCTCCTTGATCATCCTTGAGGAGTCCTGAAGAATTGGGAAGATGCCAGAAACTGGAGAAGAGCAAACATGGTCTCTGTAGGAAAGGGGGGGGAGATGATCCCGATGGGTATTGACTGGCATGCTAACATGCCAGGAAAGAGTGGGTAATGAGGCATCCTGTAAGCGTCTCCTTCTTTGACAAGCTAACTCTTCCAGTAGGCCAAGGGAAAGCCATGGATAGAACCTGCCTGGATTTCAGCCAAACGTTTGGCAAGGCTCTCTATGGTGTTCTCGTTTGAGAAGGTGTTGAAGTTTAGTTTGGGTGGCGCTACAATAAGATGAGTCCACAACTGCATGTGGACTGGCTGCACTCGGTGGGTGTTAATCACTTAGCAGGGATCGGTCTTGGCAATCTGATATTAATCCCCCGCATAAGTGATTTGATGGGCCATTAGCGGATGACTTCCCAATGCTCAAGGTGGCAATGTGATTGCAACTTAATGTGACAGGTTGGAAAACTGAGCTCAGAGGACAAAAGTGTCCTTCAACATGGTGAAAAGTATAACATGTAGAAGAAAAATTTGGGGCCCTGCATCTGAGGAGCACAAGCTGAATATGAATGAGAGGGGCTAAGGCAGGTCTCGCTGCATTAGAAGATAATTTTTTAATCCAGGCGAGATAACATCTGGAATGCTGTATATAGTTCTGGACATCTGTTTCCAAAAGAAGATGACAGGTTAGAACAAGCCAAGAGGAGGGCAATGAAGATGATGCAGGATGTCAAGATTTTACCCGCAGAGGACAGACTTGAGGGACTTGGGATCTTCAGTCTGGAGGAAAGAAGATTGAGGTGAGTGTGATAGCTCAGGTTTATAAAGGGAAGTCATGGAAAGAACCAGAAATAATTAGTACAAGTTGCAATTATTTAGATTTTGCTTGAATGTAGAGAAAACGTCCTAATGGTAAGATCTGTACCATGGTGGAACAGGGGTTGTTGCTTCTCCCACTTCGGAAGATTTGAGAAGCTGGGCAGCTATTCCCAAGGATGATTTTCCTGCACATTCTCAGAAAATGTTGGACTAAATCTGCCACAGAAACCATCTCTTTTTCAAAGAGAGTCCTTGGGAAGCCACAGTTTTAAAGTTTTGATTGGGGGCTCATTCATACATTTTACCCTGATGCCAAGATGGCTTGCTGTTCGTTGAGGACATCCTCATTGTGGAGATCCATCTTGGTGCCACCAAGAATGGCAGAAGCCAGGTCCAGCAAGAAAAGTCTGTTAGAAATACCAACACCACTTCCTGTAAGCCAACGTTCTCCAGGACTGGCCTGGAAGAGGAGCTGAAGGAGGCCAAAGCCTTCACATCACTAGATTTCACCCAAGTAGCTTCGGACAGCAAGTACCCCTTCCATTGTACTGCAATTTCCCTTTAAAAATTCTAGAGTCAAGAGTACGTTTTACTTCATAGTGAGTCTGACCCACTACTACGAGGGGCCTGGGTGCCTTCTTAAGGGGAGGTCTTAAAGTGGAGCCCCGACAAGGTTTTAACACGCTGCAATGGAAGACAGGGTGAATCCTCCCTAAAAGCCTAGGGAGTTTCAATTTTACTGTGACGGGGTTGATGATCCTTACGATGGGGAAAGGCCCCAAGAATTTTGGTCCCAATTTCTTGCTGGGCAATTTGAGGCGTAAATATTTAGTTGACAGATAAACCTTTTCCCCAGCTTGGAATGTTCTTTGGGGAGTCTTCTTTTTATCAGCCTGCTTTTTATAGGTCTCAGAAGACTTTTTTTAACGCAGTTTTCGTGTTTCTCCAAACTTCTTCCCATCCCCTCACCCATTGATCAAGTGTCTGGGAGGCGGAGGGCACCTGAGGGTATTCAGGTATTGGGCTGAACTCTTTTCCTGTGGCTACTCTGAAAGGCGTGTAGCCGGTGCTGCTGTGAACAGAATTATTATAAGCCACCTCGGCGAAAGGGAGGAGGTCAGTCCAGTTTGTCTGTTGGTAGGAAACGTAGCATCTGAGATATTGCTCCACCATTTTGTTAGTGGATTCTGCAGCCCCATTGGTAGCTGGATGAAAAGCAGATGATAAGCCTTGGGATGATCCAATTAATTTAAGAAAACTCCTCCAAAATTTCACTGTGAACCGCACCCCCGTCTGAAATTATTCGCTTAGGGGCGCCATGCAGCCGGTACATAGGTTTCAGGAACAATTTGGTCAGTCGTTGGGCAGATGGGAGTCCTTTACAGGCAATGAAATGAGCCTGCTTCGAGAACAGGTCTATCACAGTCCATATGACAGTATTTCCTCTACTTTCAGGTAGGTCTACTATAAAGTCCATAGCTATTTCTTCCCATGGTTGAGAGGGGTCTGCCACCGGTTGCAGTAGCCCAGGGGGTTTCCCTGGAATTCTTTTCATTGTGGCACATACAGTACAACTCCTGACATAGTTTTCCACATCTCGCTTTAGCCCCGGCCACCAGAATTGCCGGCGGATGAGGTGTAGAGTTTTTAAATATCCAAAGTGCCCAGCCTGTTTTTTAGGATAAACAATGCCTGGAAGTTCTTTGAAGTGTTTCATTAGTCGGAACCATGACACTGTGGTCCCTGAGAACCATTTGCTCCCATCTGGTTGTTGGCTGTTTCTGCTGTAGCTCTAGAAACAGCAGAGCCCCCCCCCCCCCCAGCCTTCTCCTTGCTCTTGTTCAGGTGGCAATGGCAGCTTTGGGGAAGGTGTTTGACAACCTTACCTCAGTTCCTACCAGGGGCCTCCCTGCCATCCCCCACCAGGCCTCTCTCCCTCCCTTCATTTTCCCCCTTTCCAAAATGGGGGGGGGGGCTTGCAAGGGAGAGACAATTGCCCTCAAGCTTACTAAATGGAAGAAATGGGGGGGAGGGATTGCCTACCTTCTCTGCTCCTCTCCCTTTGCCACACCTGTTGTTCCTTTTGTGCAACCTTATAGAAGCCTGAGGAATTCCCAGATGTTCTGATTCTGGGTATCTTCAACCTCTGGCTACCATCCAGCCTCTGCAGCTGTTCCTGGTTCCCCTCCTCTGCATTGTTAGGGCTGCTCTCAATGCCAGTTGTGTGGCTGGTAAACAATTGTTTTCCACACCAGGAGCTGATCTGGAGGACAAGGGGAGATGCCAGGCAGGCCAAGGAAAGAGAGAGCAGCTTCTCATGTGCCAGAGCTCTGTGTGAGGCAGGAAGCCCCCCCTCCCCCCCGGCCATGGCATGCAGCCCAAGGAGGCCGAGCACCTTTGGGTCTGCAGAGCTGCTCAGGCAGGTGCCCACCAGTGGCATCCAACAGATCTGCTGCTTTCATCCAAACACAACACAACCCTTCCCCCTTTGAGAGATCTGTCTCTGATGGGATGTTTGCTGTCATCAGTCTCTGATGCCCGGATGGTGCATCCAGGGTCCTGAGTCAGGCCGGAGGGCAACCTGCATGCTGCTTGCCCCCCCCCCCCAGAATGGCAGCTGCAGAGTTTTGGTTGCTTACTGGCAGGGACTGGAGGGTGTGCTTGGGAGGGATTGAAACAGTTTTCAGCATTAATGCTTTTAGTCTTGAATATGGATTTGGAGATCAGAAAGAAGCTTACCAGATGCTTCATCTGTGCAAAGTGGAACAGGAGCGAGGGGGGGGGGTTGTCCTTTCCTTCCCAGCCCTTTCAGTGGGGCAAATTCAGCCCGGGGAGTTTGGCTTTTCTGCTGCCTCCAATGGGCCCATCCCTTTGAAAGTATCCTTGCCAGGAGGCATGGAAGGTCCCCACCATAACACCGAGATTTGCACCAGCTCCAGACCCTGCACCCGTTTCTGGCACCCCCCTTTGGGATTCCTTCTGCCCCCCCCCCTGCCCCTGAACAATGACTAGGCTGCCCAAGCAGAGATGGTGATGCAGGTACTGGACAGGAGAACCCTCTGGCTGGGCATGAACTGTGGGGGGCGGCTGGAGATATACAAATGCAGGCAGGCTCCAAAACTGGAGCTGGCTTGGAACAAAAACATCCCTTCCTCTCTAAGGATTTTACTTGTAAAAGCAGCATTTGCTAAAACCAGGAATGGAGAAGAGGCATTTTCTGCTGCTGGCAAGTTGCAGCCTCTGCTGGCACACAGTGAAAATCCAAACTGGAAACGTTGGTGGTTTCCCATCATAGCAATTGGGAGACTGGAGCTCCCTGGGGGGGGCGCGGGGGGGCGTTCCTAAGCTCCACCCAGACCCAGGCAGCACGCAAGCCCCTCCCTGCCCCCTCCCTGCTCTCCCAGCGAGGCAGGGCCTCCAGGGGGGCTGAAGCTTGATGGGGGATGGGCATCAGGGCAGGATCCTCTGTTGGGACCGTCGCATCTCCCCCCCCCCCC